TAAAAATCACGGTTTGATCAGCCTGTAGACAAGCCGTGTTCCTTGTGTTCGCCTGTTTCCCCCATCTTCTCTTTCAGGTGATCTCCCGGGACCCCTGTTTAATGCCCTGCTGGACAGGACAATTAGGTGTGGCCTTGTTGGAGGAGGTGTGTCTCTGGGATCCAGCTTTGAGGTTTCAAAAGCCCAGGGCAAGCCTGGTCTCCCCACTCCTCCGCTCCTTCTCTTCTCCGCTCCCCTCCTCCCCCCGCCCCACCTGTGGCTCAGGATATAGCTCTCAGATACTTCTCCATCATCCTGCCTGCCTATCCGCTGACATTCTCCCCGCCATGATGGTTAAGGACCAAACCTCTGAAACTGTAAACAAGACACCAATGAAGTGCTTTCTCTTTACCAGAGTTGCCTTGATCACGGTGTCTCTTCACAGTAATGGAACAGTGACTAAGACAGTTGCCACACCCCCAGTGCGAGGCTGCACTGGGCAATGGAGGAGAGCAGACAGACTGGTCGTGGCATTTATACCAGCCACGTATCTTTCTTTATTCTCTCTCTCTCTCTCTCTCTCTCTCTCTCTCTCTCTCTCTCTCTCTCTCTCTCTCTCTCCACAGCTCCTGGGACACTGCCCCAGCTAGCTTCTTCCATGACCCCTGCTCTCTCTACTGCCCTTCAGAGCCTGTATTGTAGAGGAGGGGACTGCTGGTCCCCCGAGCTGTGTCACCTGCCTTTAGAAAACATTTTACTCTTATTTTAAATTACCTCTCTCTCTCTCTCTCTCTCTCTCTCTCTCTCTGTGTGTGTGTGTGTGTGTGTGTGTGTCTGTGTCTGTGTGTGTCTGTGTGTGTGTCTGTGTGTAGGCTTGTACATGTGAATACGGTGCCCTCGGAGGGCAGAATAGATTGTTGAATTCCCTGGAGCTAGAATTACAGGCTGTTGTGAGCCTACCACTGTGGGTGCTGAGAAACCAAATCTGTGCCCTTTGCAAGTGGGCTCTAACCACTGAACCATCATCTCTCCAGCCCTTGTCTCACCTGCTTTGAAGTGTCCCTTACCTGTCTGTCAATCTGTCTCCTCATACGCATACACCCCGGGTCTGTCTTTTTAAGATAGGGTTTCACTATTTACCCCTGGTTAGCCTAGAACTCGTTCTGTACACCAGGCTGGCCTCCAGTTCACAGAGATCCTCTTGTCTCTGCCTCCCAAGTGCTGGGATTAAAGACAAGACCACCATACCAGGCCCCACCTATATTTCTTTCTGTGCTAGAACAACAAATGATTCCATGAGAGAGACAGTGTCTCTAGGTCTCCTGAGATTAAGTTGTCTTCGGGACCACACCCCCTCTGTGCGTGCCTGGCCCATAGTCTGGGGCTACCATGCCTGTCTTAGGTGACATCCAGTTTCATCTCTACCTCTATCTTCCTACAGAAGGTCACTTGTTGATAAGTAGATCTAGGGCCACCCAGATCATCCAAGCTGACGTCATATTTCCATCCTTTGTGATATGGCCAAAGACCCTTTTCCACAGGTTCCAGGAGACCAGGACAGGGGCATCTTTCAGGAGAGACCATACTTTTTTCTTTTTCTTTTTCTTTTTTTTTAAAGATTTTATTTATTCTATGTATATGAGTACATTGTAACTGTCTTCAGACACACCAGAAGAGGGCATCAGATCCCATTACAGATGGTTGTGAGCCACCGATGTGGTTAGTGGGATTTGAACTCAGGACCTCCGGAAGAACAGTCAGTGCCTCGAACCTCTAAGCCACCTCTCCAGCCCCAGGAGGGGCCATCCTTACTTGCCCCACCACCCACCCTCTAGCTAATGCCGCTTCCGATATCCCTTGGCGTGCCACATCTGCCTCCGGCTTACTTCATTCCCGCAGAGACTATACAGAGCCACCTGGCTCTGTTCACAAACCACCCAGATGTCTGAAATATATATTGCTCTGCCGGCAATCAGCATTCAATAAGCAGCTGTTGCTGGCTCCACCTGGTTCCTGGTGGGGAGCTTCGGGAAGATGGGTCTGATGAAGCCTTATTGGAATCAAAACGTGGAGAAAGCAGCTGCCTGCCTTATAGCTTGGAAATCAGCTTGAGTGTGCTCCTGGCAACGATTTATTTTTAAATCTCGTGTGTTTGTGTGTGTGTGTGTGTGCGCGCGCATGTGTACACATATATGGGAGGGTGTGTGAGTGCGTGCATGTGGAAGCCAGAAGACAAACCCAGGTGTCATCCTTAGGAACGTGGTCAACCTCCTACGAGACGAGGTTCCTCCTATCCTGGAGCTCACTAGATAGTCTAGAGGGGCTGGCCAGCAAACCCCAAGGATCCCCCTTTCCCTGCCTTCTGGTCTCCCCAGCACCGGGGTTCCAAGCACTAGCCACCATAGTTGGCTCCTAGGAAGTACTTTCCCGAATAAGCCCCTCCCTCCCGGTCCCAGCCCCTGACTTCTGCATGCACAGCTCTGCAGCTCAGTTGGACCCGTGAGCTCCTTGCCTCTGGAGCTCACAGAGGAAGATGCTGATTGGGGCATTGTGCTTGAGTTGGTTTTGGAGTTCAGGGATGGGGTGGGTTCAGAGACAAAGATGGCTACCCTCTCCAGCCAATCAAATCTGCAGTAACAAACAGTGGGACGGATGTAATTTTAAAAGAACCAATGAGAACGGAAGGAAGGGAAATGAACATTTTTCATAAGCCCCCTTCAGAAATATATAAGGATGCAGACAGTTTGCAAAATTATTTGATCAGGAGTTCCTACGGAGAGTTACGTATGGCCTGGAAATTCCATCCCTAGGACCGTGCCCGTGAGAAATGAAGACACCTGTCCCCACAGAGACATGCACGAACACAGATGTTCTCAGCAACGTTATTCACAATAGCCATGGGGTGCATCCACCCGGATACCTTAGGCTAATGTTTGGATACACAAACATACCGAGGTCTGACATTTGACACTAGCCATCAGGGAAATGGAATGAAGAATGATTCATGCAGAGACATAGGTGAACCTTAAAATCAATATGTGAAGAGAAAATCAGCCAGGAAAGAAACATAAAGATGCCAGGTAGATTCTAAGTTCCCAGAGGGAAGGAAATGATTGAACGTTTGCTTGTATATAATAGTTTCTAATTTTGTGCTGATATGGGTGAATGTGTGTTTCTTGTGTCTTTCTTTCTTTCTCTCTCTCTCTTTTCTCCTCCTCCTCCTCTTCCTTTTCTTTACAGTTTTTGTTTGTTTTGTTGCCTTTTTGCTCTCTAAAGAAAACAAAAGTGTTGGGAGTTGGGTTGCTTGGGAAGCAGGAAGGATCAGGTGGGAGAGGGGAGGGGAAGCCATGATCAAACTATGTTACCTGAAAAATGGTTTAGCCCTGGCTGTCCTAGAGCTAGTTCTGTAGACCAGGCTGGCCTTAACTCAGAGATCTGCCTGCCTCTGCCTCCTAAGCACTGGGATTAAAGGCGTGTGCCACCACTGCCTAGCTGCAATTTTCTTTTCAATAAAAATAGAACAATAAAAATGTTCTAAGGTTGGTTTTCTCCTCCCACTATGAGGAACCAAGGGTGGGGGGGTGACCTCATGCTGTCAGACTTGCCCACAAGTGCCTTTACCTGACCGTCCACTTTACACGGGTGAATTGTGTGGCATCTGGACTCTCTCTCTCATTTTTTTTTTTTGATTTTTTGAGACAGGGTTTCTCTGTGTAGCCCTGGCTGTCCTGGAACTCACTCTGTAGACCAGGCTGGCCTCTAACTCAGAAATCCGCCTGCCTCTGCCTCCCGAGTGCTGGGATTAAAGGTGTGCGCCACCACAGCCCGGCGAGTCTATCTTAATAAAGCTGCCAACGGTAACAATAAAGGATATGGGGAGATGGCGTGAAATGTTTTTGAGGAGGAGGAGGAGGAGGAGGAGGAGGAGGAGGAGGAGGAGAAGGTGGTGGTGGTGGTGGTGGTAAACACCTTGGGGGAAGACACAGGGTGCAGCCAATGCATTGTGGGAAATCATAAAAGATTGTGTTCTTTCTGAAGAGAAACATCTAAAACCTCCCCAACCTAAGAGCAGGTCCAGAGAAGGCTCTGAATAGTCTTACACCCTTGAGGCCTGGGATAACTACCCTAGCTTATTACAGCAAGCACCAAGCCCTCAGAGGAAGGAGTTCTGGCTAGGAACTCAGCTGCCAGGTTGGCAGGGGATAAAAGCTTCCCGGAGCCCCGTGGGGTGCCTGTAAGGTTGCTGTCAGTTGAAGCTGTCAGTACTCACTGTGGGGATCCTGGTTCTAATCTCCCTTTCTACTGAGAACCTACAGGAATGAATGGAGTAGCTCCACTCCTCGGGTCCTCACTTCACCTGCCTGCAAAGTAGGGTTGTTATTCCCAGTAGTCAAACCCTGTGATAATATCCACGGGACATGCTTGGTCACTGAGTCAGGGCCTGGCAGTTTCTCTAAGCCTCAGCTTCCCTATCCTGAAAAGGAAGTGAGAGGGCTGGTGAGATTGTTCAGAGTGTAAGTTTGATCCCCAAGCCCCACCAGGTAAAGTCGGGATTGACTCCCCGACTCCAGCAAGCATGTTGTTTTCTGATCTACACATTTGAGCCTGGGACATGTACACACATATAATACACGGATATGTGTGTATATACACACACACATTTATATATGTATATATTCACAATAAATAAATCTTTAATATTTTATTTTTGAAACGGGGGTTCTCTGTGCAGCCCTGGCTTTCCTGGAACTCGGAGATCCGCCTGCCTCTGCCTTTAAATTTTATTTCCTAGGAAGCAAGAATCTGTGATCTTTCCCAGATGCCAGTCATCCTGTGAGGTTTAGACATCGCGCGCCCTGCCTTCCTTGTAGGGGCCTTCGAGTCTCTCAAGACCTGGCGGAGAAACTGCGCCTGCGCAGTACCCTAGCGCTCCGGCCTCCTCCCACTCCGCCTTGAGGGTGTGACATCCCAGTGAGGCCACACCTACTTCCGGGTGGAACGCTTCGGGGGCCACGTGACTTGCTAAAGATGGCGGCGCCCAGTGTGGCGGCGTGAAAGTTGTGGGAAGTTGCTGTCGCGGGTATCGTGAGTCAGAAACGAGGGGAACCTGAGAGCCATGTCGCGTCTGATCGTGAAGAACCTCCCAAATGGGGTGAGCGGGACCTGGGGATGGGGCCCGGAAATGGAAGCGGAGGTCCCGGAAAGGAGGGTGAAAGATGGAGGGATCCTAAGTCAGGGACAGGACGGGGAAAGTCCGGAACTCAGTGAGGCGGCACCCTGTTCTCACCGCTAAGCAAGCCGGAAAGTGGCTACGGTTGTTATAATTATCACCAGTGACACTGTTGCCACCTCATGCGTGCCTGCCCCTAAACCGGATAGCCCTGCTCCGGGCTGTTGCCGGCCCCCACCTTGTGCCTCGGACCCCAGTCCTCTTGGTCCACACTGTTCTCTGTCCCACTCTCAAGACTGTTGTGGGAAACAATTGGGGAGATGACCGGAGGACTCGAGTAATGGAAACGGCATTTAGTGGTTTGTCTGTTAGTGGAGAGCGGGCAACTCAGGCATGATGGCAGAGCCTGGCAGTGCCGGGTAAAAGAAGAAATGAGCGCGTGTGTGTGGTGATAGGCCGGCTGGATGGAGAGCACTCCCGAGGACCCCTCCTTGTTGTGCTGGGTAATTTTGATAAATTTGACACAGACCGGAGCCACTTACGAAGAGGGAACTTGAGTTGATGAATTGCTTCCCTAGGATTAGCTTGTGATATTTTGAAGAGTGATTGGTTTGGGAAGGTCCAGCCCACTGTGGGTGCTGTCACGCCTCGGCAGGTGTTCCTGGGCTGTATACATACAAATGCTGGCTGGGCAAGTTAGTATGCAGAGTTCCTCTACCGTTTCTGCTTCAGTTCTTGCCTTGGCTTTCCTGGGTGATGGACTGTGATTGAGACCCGTAAGCCAAACAAACGGTTTTCCTCCCCAAATCGCTTTGTATCCTTTGTCCTTGATGCGTAGGTATCACAACAGGAAGCAGACTAGAACACATACCGTGTCACTAACACAGAGCAAACTTAGCTACAGAGTGTAGAGGTGCACACACCTGTTGTCAGCTTTCCATAGGCAGAGGGTGGCAAGTTCAAGGCCAGCCTGGATTACATAGCAAGATGATGTCCTAGCCATAAAGGTATTTTGTTGCTACTTCGTAACTGTAATTTTCTACTGTTGTGAATATAATGTAAATATCTGGTATGTGGGCTATCTGATGAGTGTCCCCCAAAAGGGTCTTGACGCACAGGTCTAGAGCCACACACAAAACTCTGGCCAGTGTGAGAATGGTAGGGGCCAGCTGTCCCCACCACGGAACTGTTTACCAACATTGTAATGGCATCATGTTAATTTCCCATCCTTCCCTTGGGAAAGTGGTTGAAACAGTATCGTGTTTGTTTGTTTGTTTTTTGGTTTTCGTGACAGGGTTTCTCTTCATAGCCCAGGCTGTCCTGGAACTCACTCTGTAGACCAGGCTGGCCTCGAACTCAGAAATCCGCCTGCCTCTGCCTCCCAAGTGCTGGGATTAAAGGCATGCACCACCATTGCCCGGCTGTTTGTTTCTATTTTTACCGTTTTGGAGGTTAGCCAGCCTAATGTGAAGTTCCTGTCAGGGACTGGCAGCCTGCAAGAGGGTCTAGCCCTTCGACATAATTACATCACAGTGTAGGTCTGGGCATGGCTGCCAGCCGGTCTTCTTAGGCTTCTTCGGGTCTTCTGGCCATTGCTGTCTCTGACTCATGGCTGCTTCCATCATCCCCAGTCCTTAAGATCAAGAACACTTGGTTTCCTGATTCCCTCCCCATCCCTTCCCCCTCCCGCTAGCCTTCCTCAGATTCTGAGCCTCCTACCTCACAGATTGGCACTCAAGTACCCCAAGACTCAGAATGATCTCCCCAACTTGGGATTTTGTTTGTTGGTTTGGGGGGGTGTTCACTTTTTTTAAAAAACAGCCTCTTAAGTCTATATCCCTGCCTGATGTTGATTGTGCCATCCCCCTGCTTCTGCCTCTCCACTGTACCCTCATCTTAGGGTTTTTTTTTCCCCTTTTTTCTTTTTCCTTTTCTGAGACAGGATCTCATTTAGTAGCCCTAGCTGGCCTGGAACTTAACATGTAGACCAGGCTGGCTCAAACTAAAGGAATCTGCTTGCCTCAGCCTCCAGAGTGCTAGGATTAAAGGTGTGAATGACCATGCCTGCCTTCATCACCAGGTTTTAAAAACACATCTGGAAAATCCCTTTTGCAATATCTGGGTGTGGTGGATCATGTGCTCTGGGACTGGGAAGTGAGGCAGGCAGATCTCTAGTTTGAGGCCAGCCAGGGCTGCACTCCCCTTAGCTGTATACTATAGTACAACCCCAGGTGCTGGGGACCAGGGTGTGGGCATCTTTAATGGGCTCCATTATTCTCTGGCTCTCAAGGTTAACAAATAACAAACATTTACATAGCTTCTCTTACCTTTGTTTATTTGGATAAGCCTCTGTTGAGTATCTGTTTGCTGTTACAGCCTCAGGGTGGAAGCTGTAATTGATGTTGTCCTCAAAGGGGACAAGATAAGAAAGAGACTTTTTTTTTTTTCTGAGATACCTTGAAGTTTCATTTCCTTTTTAAAGAACTGAGTAGCTTGCTCAGGGGTGCTCAGCGGGTGGGTGTCAGACTCTGAGCCAGGATCTGGCCACTTTAAGAAAAGTACTTGTTGCCACTTGCTCACATCAGGTGTCCCTCCAGGACCTCTAGGCTTCTAGCTTGTTTGTCTCTTCGATCCAGGGGACCCCCCTCCTCAGCTTCTCTCTCATTATACCCCTCTGCTCTAGATGAAGGAGGAGCGATTCCGGCAGCTGTTTGCCGCCTTTGGCACGCTGACCGACTGCAGCCTCAAGTTCACCAAAGACGGCAAGTTCCGAAAGTTTGGCTTCATAGGTTTCAAGTCGGAGGAGGAGGCCCAGGCAGCACTGAACCATTTCCACAGGAGCTTTATAGACACGTCCCGGATCACGGTGAGTCTGAGGGAGTCTCATCCTGCCGGCCATAGACAGTTCGCCTTACCTCAGTGCCACACAAGCTTCTGAGTGCCCGGCCAGCATCATTGCCTGAGAGGCTCCACTGCTCGCTGGGCCCTCTCCATAATTTCTGAGGAGTTGAAGTACTCACTGTACCCTTTCCTGTTGTTTGACCTTTGTACCGTATGCACGAGTTATAAGTGTGATAGAACTGATGAACAGAGTTACTTCTCCAGGGGCATCCATCGCCAGGAGAAAGTGGTTTGCTGAACAGTAACAGCCTGGACCATCTGGGCATGGCTTGTGGAGGTGTCCTCCCTAAGGCCGTCTCCGAGAATGCATCGGAGGTGCCAGGGCCGAGGGATGCATCACTTCATGTGTGGTCCCTGGCATTCTTCCACACTCCTGTGGTCACCCAACTGTCCCTGATACCCTGGGCTTGTTTTCTGCCATGACTGAACTTGCCTTGTGGTAAAGTCACCTGACTCGTGGCCATTGCCCCCTGTTGCTGTGCGCTCGACAGGGGCTGCCTCCTAGACATCCTCTGTGGGCCTGAGGTGTGATGTGGGCTCCCAGTCCCTATGTACCCCAAGTCCTGTCTCCGTTGTGTCACCTGCTTCCTGGGCCACCCAATCTCCACTTTGACTTTTTGGTCTGAGCAAAGGAGACAGTAACATTTCCTGTCACCTTCTTCTGGACCGCGTGGGAGACAGAATTAGTCCTCTGTAAATGACAGCATGACTTTTGTGGGGACAGTGTCTAGGCTAGGAATGAAAGTGAGTCACTTTAAAGCAGATAGCAGGTCAGTGACCACTGCACTCTGGGGAACCTGTGCTCCTGTGCTGACGGGGACTCACGTGCTTAGGGACCTCAGCAGCTTTGGAAGCCAGCCCTCTTTCTCATGCAGGTAGAATTCTGCAAGTCCTTTGGAGACCCGTCAAAGCCCCGAGCTTGGAGCAAACATGCCCAGAAGCCAAGCCTGCCATCGCAAGACTCAGTTCCCTCAGACACTAAAAAAGTATGTAGGCGGCGCCCCCAGCCCTGTGCCCAGTGATGGCAGGGTGGTCTCTGGCTGGGAAAGAGTTGGGAGTGTCAGGAAAGGTAGGTGCGCCCAGGGCATTGCACCGCTTTCCCTTCCCCAGTGTCGATGTGAGCCTGTCTGCCTTCTACTTTCAGGACAACAAGAAGAAAAAGGTGTCCAGTGACCTGGAGAAGGTGAATGTTCTGTGGGTGGAAAGGGAGGCCTGTGAGCATTGAGAGGGAGGAGGGCTGGAGAACTGAGCCTCCTGAAGCTCTGCCTCATCTCCGTCCTCCTGTTCCTCCTCCTGCCTCTCCCACCTGGCTGTATTCCCATAGCTAAAGAAAGATGCCGAGTTCCAGGAGTTCCTGTCAGTTCATCAGAAGAGGACCCAGGTGGTCACATGGGCAAATGACGCTTTGGATTCTGACCTCCCGAAAATGAAAACCAAGCCATCAAGTGACTATCTGAACTTCGACTCTGACTCCAATTCCGACTCCGACTCTGGGCAGGAGAGTGAGGAGGAGCTAGCCCAAGAGGACCCTGGAGGTAAGTGTACATCCTGGGAGTTTGAGGGCCTTTGCCAAGCCTTGGCCTGATGGACACAAGTACCATATGTTTAGCACAGACATACAAAGGACACCTTGTGTGATGCTCTCTGGTGACAAGGGCTAAGAAAAGTGCCAAGGACCAGCCTCGGCTTGGAGAAGGGTTTTTGAGAGAAAGGGTGTCAGGGAGCCACGAAACCAAGGTGAAATTGGGTTATAAACTGACGGCCTTTATTCTGCTCAAGACAGCTTTCCTGATTGTTCTATGCTCTGCTTTCTCTGGAGATCACACAGCTTTTTTTTTTTTTTTTTAAACAGGTTTTTTGCAATTCTAAAAACTCTTGGGTAGCTCATCTCTTGCAGATGGAAGCCCAGTTTTTATTTACATATCAATTCAGTCATTGTCTCAGGTTCCTTTTTGGTTATCCCAAGAATCAGCACCCTTTGATTCTTAGAAAGAGACAGCCAGCACAAGCACAGACAATAAGCTAGCTGGGTGGGACCCCCAGCCTGAAATTAACATTCCTACTAGGCCTGGGCCTGGGCCTGGGCCTAAACTCCTTCTGTCCCAGGCTGACCTTAAACTCAGGAACCTGCCTGCCTTCACATCTTTCTGACGAGCTGGCTCACAGTGCAGCTGCCTCTGTTCCTTTAGATCTGTGAAGCTTCTTACACAGTTCATATTGCATTCTTATAGTTTGCATACTTGGGAAATTATGTATTTTTGAACTCATGTTTTCAGTGTTCTCTCTCACAGCCTAAAGGGTTGTCCTGAAGGTCACAGCATTCTACCATTTTACTGAGACATAGAAACACCCTCACCTCCCAGACTCATGCTGTCTCTGATTATCATGGTATCGTTAACCTTGACAGAGAGGACCTTCCTTGAAGGAAGACCAAAAATATGTACATTATTATACAAACAAGCCTTATGCGCACAGCAACCATCAACACTCATGGAGGCCCATGCCCTGCTGGCTCTGTTCAGGGGCAGGAGCCATGTCATTTGTCCCTTACACATGGCTAAACAGGACTTAGCTGGAGAGGGCCAGCCAGGTGCTACACCCTCCAGGCATCTGGGGTATGAGCAGCCTACCCATTGGTGTGTCTCCCCGGGCAGATCTGGTCACCTGACTCAGCCAGTATTCACCATTCATGGACAGTATGCTGGGCACAGCCCTGGGGACTGGGGACACACCAGTGAGAAAAGACCCCAAGAATCTCTGTACCTGTGCAGGTGTCATCCTGGTGAGAGTAGAGGGGCAAGGCAGGTAGTTCCCAGGGGGCATGTGTGGTGATGGGTGTGCCAAGAAGGCAGGACGGGGCCTGGGAAGCTTTCTGGAAGGGCTCCTGTAGCTCCAGGGGGTAGTGGTAGGGTGTCATGCCCTCATGGGCCCTACTGTGGCTGGTAAGCAGCCAATCAGATCACAGAACATAGACTGTAAGCTGTGGTCCACAGTGAGGGCTGTTGTTTTTGACAGGTGAGTATGTAGGACTAACACAGCTCAGCCTGGTAATGTCTGCTGAGCCAGGCGAGGACTCTGGGACTATGGGTGGAGCCGCAGAGGAAGTGGGGAACAGCAAGGAGAGTCTCAGAGGGAAGGACGGCACAGCGGCCTGAGAGGTGATCTTAGTTTCAGGACCTAATGCAGATGGAGCTGGGGGAGGAGAGTTCAATCTCCACCCCAGCACGGGAAACCCCTGGAGGGTGGTAAGCAGAGCCACAGCCTCACCGTGTGCTAGGAGGGTCACAGGGGGTCACGCATGCTACAGTGTAAGGGGTGGCTGTGTTCCTCTGCTCAGTCAGTCTGACCTGGTAACTCCCTTCCTCCCTTCCCGATTCCTCTTGCCCAACCATTTTCATCAGAATATGTCACACCAGGTGTCTTTTGCACTTGTGTGCAAACCACACTGTTCCGCGTGCGTGCACACACACACACACACACACACACACACACCTGGCATCTGATAAGGACTGTAGTCCACTCACATGGATTTTCCTGAGCAGATGGATTATAACAATCTCTGCCAATAAGCAAAAGGGGGGGGTAGCTGTGTTGTGCGTTATTTCTAACGATTGTTTAAAGATAAACCTAAAAGGGGACCTTGGGGTGCTGGGGAGATTGTCTTAGCTGTTAAGTACTCTTAATCCTCTTCCAGAAGATCTGAGTTCAGTGCCCAGGCCCACATGATGGCTCACAGTTGCCCTAAACTCCATCCCCAGGGGATCTGGCCCCCTCTTCTGGCCTCTGTGGGCACTGCACTCACATGCACACATCTACACACACATATGGGGGAAGGAGGCTGGAAAGGGATCGGGCTAGTGAAAGGGAGCCACAGCTCTCCACGTGCCACGGGATGGAAAGACACGTACAGTCAAGTGTGCCCAGTTGCCCACCCGGCACTGCATGTGTGAGGGCCTTGGCCATGCTGGGTATGCTGTCTCTGCTCACTATGGTCGCTGACCTCTGTGTCCCCAGAGGAACAAGGCCTGCAGCCAAAGGCGGCAGTGCAGAAGGAGCTGTCAGACATGGACTACTTGAAATCCAAGATGGTGCGGGCTGAGGTGTCCTCTGAGGATGAGGACGAAGAGGACAGTGAAGACGAGGCGGTGAACTGTGAAGAAGGAAGTGAGGCTGAGGATGAGGGGGACTCCCCTGCCTCCCCAGCCAAGCAAGCGGGTGTGATCCGGGGAGCCGCGCCTGGAAGCCCGAGGCCCCAGGAAGCTGCTGGCAAGGTATGTGTGTGCGTGTGTGTGTCTGTGTGTGTGTCTGTCTGTGCGCACATGCACAAGTTTTGTGTCTGTCTGTCTGTCTGTGTCTGTGAGGACTGAAGAATACACTGGGCCTGGGTCACCCTAGGGTCCCTGCAGCCTCTTCCCTAGAGGATTGCCTGGAAGGGAAGGCCACGTTGCCCATAGGTGTCCTCCTTAGGTTCCTGTTTTGATCCGGGGAAAGCCATCTGCTCCTGGAGTTGTGGGTTATCAGTGAGCTGGGCAGGTGCTGCCTTGTATTTAGCAGCAAGATAGATGTGAGGAAGCTTACGACTGACAGATAGATGAGTGTGTCACTGTATGCTGGGTAATATCCCTCACAAGTCAGTAACTCACGTTACAGTCCTCTGCCCAGGTGAGGCACCCGCAGTGAGGGCTGGGGCTGGGAGCCTGAGGCTTAGAATCCAAAGATGGCTGAGACCTTGATGGCCCCTCATCTCCCACCAGGAGGCCCTCTCTGCTGCAGAGACAAGACACTTAGAGACTCGGGTGGGACCACACCCCTTGGGGTTCGTGTGATGAAAGAAATCGGGGTACACAGCAGTCCAGAACAGACTTTGACAGGGAAAGAGTTCTAGTCAGGACAGGTTTGGGCTTCAAAGGAGAAATCAGGAGCAGAGGCCCTTGGGAGTTGTTGGCACTCCAGAATAGTGGATCTTGACCCCAGCATCCCTGTGGAGTTGTACTCTCAGCGGGACACTGGGCAAGCCCTGCCTCAGTGGTGCCTCTAGGCTCCTTCCTGGCACCAGGGCCTCTATTAGTGTGCCGGTGGCTCACCAGGCCCTGTGCGCAGCTGCCTCCTCCAGCTCTATCCAGGCTCACCTCACAGCAAACAGGGATTCTCACAGCGCTCGTCCTCCAGCTCCCCGGGCAGCTGGTGCCCTTCCAGCTCCTCCAGGGCATCCCAGCCGCCCCCGGCCACACGAGCTCACCACATGACGCTCACCATGTCTACCTCCTCTTCATGGTCCCCCAGGTAGAGAAGCCAGCCAGCCAAAAGGAACCCACTACCCCCCACACTGTGAAGCTCCGGGGAGCCCCATTCAATGTCACTGAGGTACGCATTTGGAAAGGGAGGGTGGGTGTTCCAGGATCAAGTGAAGTCAAGAGCCAGACGGAGCCAGGCTAGGGGCTGCTGATCATGTCAGGGGACAAGTGGCACTGTGAACACTGCTTCCATTCCCTCCCATTGGTGCCAGGCTGGAGGCTTGCTGTTAAAAAGGGAGGGGACATGGGGCTGGATAGTTCAGTGGGTAGAGTGCTTGCTGCAAGCCTGAGGACCTAAGTTCAATCCCCAGCTGCATGCTGTATCGCTAACTTAACTGGTACCGTGAGACCAGTCAGCAGGCACTTAGTTGTCTGTTTTGAGGAACCAGGGGCAAGCACTCGGCCACTGAGCCGCATTCCTAGTGTACTTGTCCAGTGCTTAAAATTCTAAGAGAAAATGCTGAGAGACTTTTTAACAGGTCTAACGAAATATTAAACTTGTTTTTTTTCTAAAAAGAAAAGGATAGAAGGGAAACACTTCTTTTCATTCCAGAAAAATGTCACGGAATTCCTAGCTCCTCTGAAGCCAGTGGCCATCCGGATTGTGAGAAATGCTCATGGGAACAAGACAGGTGAGACGGAAGGGCCACCCTGGCGATGCTGGGGCTGCCAACCATGGGCCCCTGGTCAGCCGGGGTCTCCTGGCCACCGAGCATTTGATTTGGCTGTCATAAGGCAGAGAGTCTGGTGATTAGCCAGCGTCAGAGCTGGGGCGGGACCAGAAGGCCGTGAGGAACGGAGCAGGAGCTGAGCTACATTTCAGAGCCACACACCAGGGCGCTGTGGCTTCAGGGAACCTGCGGCCTGCGGGCTATAAGAGTCCTTGGCAGGAAGAGGCTGCCTGGGCAGAGCATCTGGGGAAGAGAGCGCCTGTGCATTAGGGGCAGCCCAGTCTCCATCTCGTGGCTTGTTTCTTCCCCAGCACCCCTCTCACCTTTAATCCTGAAGAGGGCGGTGTGGGCTAGAGGGGCTTCATCCCAGCTTAGCTGCTTCGGAGCACTGTCACCTCAGACACGCGGACAGGATTGGCCTCAGTGCCTGTACACTGCGCCGTGGGCCTGTTACCCAGGAGTGGGGAGCCGAGGAGCTGCCCCTGAGAGCTGCCCTGCCCATTCTGGGAACTGTGGCAGCATTGGTCTGCTGCTAAGGGGGGTGCCCTGGTCACGACACGTTAGAGACTGGGCAGGGAGCAGGAAGAGAGCCAGCTGGGCCTGTGGCTGGAAAACACACGGCGCTTGCTCCTGAGGGCACAGGCAGGGCTGGGAAAGATCTAACATGGGCTCAGCCATGCGGGACTTTAGTCAGTGTGTGTGTGTGTTCACTTCCAGCCTAGGAGCAGGTCCATGGGGACAGAGGGGTTGGGGGGCGGGGTCCTGGGGAGGCTGGATCCGATTAAGAACAGTCCCTCAGCTGGTCTGCCCTGGGAGACTCCTGGAGCATGAAGTGGGTGAAGTACTTCATGGGTAGGTCGTGTCTCTGCAGAGAACAGAAGAGAGAGCTGGACAGAAAGAACAGCCTCATCTTGCTTGTGGCAAACTCTTGGGCTTTGGGACATGCTGTGGCATTGTCATCAGACAGCCCTGTGACCCAGGACATGTGACTTTAAGTCTTCTAGGGAAGGGATGGCCCTGCTCTGCCGACTCATAGGGTCAGGCTCCCCCTCAGGAAGGATTCCAGGTCTGGATCTGAGCTTCAGGGACAGTGGTCATGACGATGACCCTGGCCATCCTGAACCGGGTCACAGCATAGCCTCCATCAACCCTTCTCTAGAGAGTGTTCAGGAGCAGCGTGGGGCCGGGACAGGGAGGGAGCCCTGCTGCTCACTCCTGGGGTCCACATCTGCGCTCACACAGCCCCCTTGTCTGAGCTGTTGGGGTGTAGGATGTATGGGGGGGTATGTGTGTCCTGGAGGTTGACAGCCTGTGGCTCTCCTTGTCCCTGTCCTCACTCAGGGTATGTCTTTGTGGACCTCAGCAGTGAGGAAGAAGTCAAGAAAGCTCTGAAGTGCAACCGTGAATACATGGGTAAGGGGGTCAGCCGTCAGCGAGGGCGGCCCTGTGCTGATGTCACACGCTAGTGCTGAGATCCAGCAGGGAGTCCACAGTCCCTCTCCCTGGAGCAACCACAGAGCGAACCCAGAAAGAATCATGGGCGGCGTGGGTGGATGATGCCATTGATCTGAGGGACGGGTAGAGCAGGGACTACTGTTACCCTGCGCTCTGGCCTCCTGGAGCAGCTTTCTTGGTCTCTACAACAGTCTGTGTCACTGACTGACTTGGCTCAGAGGCAGGTGTGGGCCACTGATAGAGGAAAGTCACACTGAGGGGGGAGGGGAGTCCTGTTAGCAGGTCAGGTAGTGGGTACTGATGGAGCACTGAGTGGATGAGGGGGATGGGTGCTGGCTGAAGTGGGGTGGGCTATCATGTGATGCCTTCCCAGATCAGCCACAGGGATTTGGGGTGGCCCCAGGACCCAGCTACTGACTCCTGTGGTCTGGGATGGCCCACAAGCTCCCAGCACCTTGGTTGCACTGCCAAGGTGAGTGAAGTCCCAGTGGGTCCAGCTGCAGCCTAGGAAACTGTACACTGTAGACACAATCACACGTGGGAACAGCAGGCTCTGAGCAGCAGCAGGACAGAGGGACCTTGGGAGACACACCACAGCTCTGACCCCCGTCTTCATGCAGGTGGACGCTATATCGAGGTGTTCAGGGAAAAGCAGGCCCCCACTGTCCGTGTTCCCCCAAAGAGCACCACACCTTGGCAAGGCCGAACCCTCGGGGAGAATGAGGAGGAGGAAGACCTGGCCGACTCTGGGAGGCTCTTTGTTCGGAACCTGTCCTACACCAGCTCCGAGGAGGACCTGGAGAAGCTGTTCTCTGCCTACGGTGAGTGGTGTCTCTGCTTGGTCCTGGGTGACATCTCTGTCAGCTAGAAGCTCCTCTGTAGAAATCAGACAAAGCGCCCTACTGCTGAGGGTGCCATAGCATCCCTACTACATAAACAGGTCTCTTCACTTTCTCAGAATATGGAGCAGAAGAGAGAGCAGTGTCTCCCTCGGGCTGTCCACACTGCTATCCCGTCCTTCCTAGGCACTATGGAGGCTCAGACAGGACAGGCAAGGCAGCTCCAGGGGCCCGTCCTGTCTCAGCCTCCACACCCAGCCTGTCCTTAGAAGAGACACAGGAGTTACTGCAGACATGTTGCAAGTGTCAGGTCCCCAGCTCCATCTAGAGCCTTGCTGCCCTTTGTGACATAATCCTGACCCCACAAGTATAACAGCCTTGTAACCTACAGCCAGTGAGTTTTCAGCCTAAGAAACTACAACAACAGCAACAGTAAGAATAGTTCTCTGGGCTGAAACCTCCCAGTGTACCCACAGCTCTTGTGCTAGGCAGACCCTCCTGCCTCCTGGCTGACATGGCCAGACTAGACAGGAGAGGACTTGTCTAGACTGTGAGTGTCCATCTGGGAAGACAAGAGGCTCGTGGGAACATGATCCTATTCTGTGTTCAGAGTGGCAAACACGGCCTAATTTGCATGGTGATGTTTCGGCACTTAATGGCACCACCTGCAGGGGGCACTGTTGCCTGCACTCATGTGTTAGCACAACTCACCCCACACTTGTCCTGTGAGGCAGGGATCTTGTGGCACTTTATAGGTGAGGACATGGGCCTGTGTTGATAAGTACGTGAGAGCAGGTAGCAGAACGGGTGTACAGCCTGCACCTCTCCTGAGAATTGACTCACAGATACCTTTGGCCCTGGGCTGGTAAGCTGGCTGGTAAGCTGGCATGGTGTCGCCATGCTGTCCTGAGGGACCCAGCAGTCTGGGCTGCTCCAGAACAGCCATTTGCTGATCTCACCAGTCGAGCCCATTGCCTGGCCATTGTATTCCTGTTACCCAGTCCTCTGGCCCACAACTGACTGACACTTCTCCCATCTCCAGGTCCCCTGTCAGAACTCCACTACCCCATTGACAGCCTGACCAAGAAGCCAAAGGGCTTTGCCTTTGTCACCTTCATGTTCCCTGAGCACGCTGTGAAGGCCTATGCTGAGGTAGATGGGCAGGTATTCCAGGTAAGTTAGCCCTGGCCTCGTCGGGCTGTTGGGCTTAAGGAAGTAGGCACAGGTGTGCGTCTGTGTCTGTCTGTGTCTGTGTGTCTGTGCATTTCAGGCCTGAAAGCCCACAGTGGCCCGCTATGCTGACATCACGTGAGCTTTTAGAGGGTGAGATTTCTAAAGGCAGTGGTCTGGCCTTGTCATTTGCTGTTCGAGGCAGCCTGGCACACACTGGATCCTTAAAGAATATTTGTTGAATGAAACCGTGCTCTATGCCTTCTGAAACAGTTCCTCAGCGAAAGATGAAGCTACAAGTATTGGTAGCCATGGTGTGCCCAAGCATTCAGGCTGTTTGCCTGTGGCAGCAGGGGGTGGGCACAGCACGCCTGCCCAAGTCCAGGCAGCCTGTTTGACATATTTGTTCATGGTTTATAGATGAACCTGCGTCCACCTGTGTAGACCTCCTATTCTCTCACTGGAGGGACAGAAAATGACAGGATGCGGGTTTCTGGGGCCATGGGTACTGTAAGCAGTTTCCTGAGCTGGAGAGGTGGCTCGGCAGTTAGGGCACTTCCTGAGTGGGCCCACAGCACTCAGGAAGCAGAAGCAGGTGGATTTCTGTGAATTCAAAGTCAGCTTGGTCTACGAATGGAATTCCAGGCCAATGAGGGTTTGACTCAAAAGACAAAAAAAGAAAAAAGAAAAAAAAGAGAGAAAAAGAAAAAAGCATTTCCTGCTCTTCTAGAGGACCAAAGTTTGTTTCTCAGAAGTCATGCTGGGCCACATACAACCACCTGGATCTCCGGCTCCAGGGACTCTATGACGCCCTCTTCTGGCCTCTGAAGGCACTGCACACACATGGTGCACATACGCTCAGGCACACATACACACAGACATAAATATGTCTATGTAAATCTTTTTAAAAACATGAACCATGTCTCCTGTATGCAGTGGTGTCAGCTGGCCTCACCACAATGGCAGGTCCCTTTGTGATACAGATGGAGAGGAACTAGGTCTTAAACTGTTGGTGGGGGGGCTCAGATTGAGAGGGTGAGTCCATGAGTGTCAGGACGGGGAGCGCGCCAGTAGACCAGCAGTTGAGAGAACAGGTCTCTGTCAGTAAGCATGAGGCCAAGACAGGAGCTAACTGGAAATGGTGTAGGTTTTTGAGACCTTGAAGCCCACCTCCGGAGACTCACCTCCTCCAAGGCCACAGCTCTTAATCCCACATAGTCCCACAAACTGGGGACCAAACATTCCAATATGTGAGCCTCTGGGGTCATTCTCATCCAAATTGCCACAAACCACACGGTCCCTCTGCTGTCCCCTCCAGTCAGACGTAGCTCTAGTGCACTTGTGACCTGAGGTGGCGTTCCTGAGGGTGGAGCTGTGTTTCAGCCTCCTTCCATCCCCTCCAGGGCAGGATGCTCCACGTCCTACCTTCCACCATCAAGAAAGAAGCCAGCCAGGAGGCCAACACCCCGGGATCCTCCTACAAGAAGAAGAAGGAAGCCATGGACAAAGCCAACAGCTCCAGGTCCTTGTCAGCTCCACAGCGGCCACTGAGCCCGCGGGTCTGCTGCCCCTGACCCCACCCTCCGCTCTTCTTGTGCACCTCATCCATGGCTTTTCAAGGCCTCACTTTGCCCATTCGCGGGAAGGGGAGAGCAGAGCAGGGTCTTCCCACCGTCTGCGCACGGTGCGGATGTAGGAGAGGCTGTGTGCAGAGTGCAGAGTCCCCGAGCTGAGACCTGGGGTCCTCAGTCTGCTAGTCTCCGGGCCTCGCCGTGTGCTTGGTCTGTGGCAGGGAGCTGGAGGGAGGGGCTCGGGCTTCTGAGAAGGAGTCGGCCTGTCGGCCCCCACGTGACTTCTGTTCTGCCCACACTCCTCAGCTGTCACAACTGGAACACGCTGTTTATGGGGCCAAATGCCGTGGCTGACGCCATCGCACAGAAGTACAACGCCACCAAGAGCCAAGTGTTTGACCACGTGAGTGAATCATGGCCTCTCCCGGGTGTCTGGACGTGGCAGCTGCTGAGTTACCTCAGGCCGAGCCTGCGGTGGGAGCGTGCTCGGCACCTGATGCTCGGCACAGAATGCCTGTGATTTTGCTCGCAGCTCCTCCCCTCCCTTGTCACTTACCCTTCTCCCCAGACACAGGCTCAGCCCTGACCCTGGACACTGAATGTACCACATATGTGAGAATGATGGTATTTCAGAGAAGCCAGGGGAAGCAGGCAGAGTTATCTTTCATGGCCTAAGTCAGCATACCTAAAATACTGTGATTGTAACATGTGTTCAACATGAAAACAGCCCGAGCCATTTTCTCCGTATTCGTCTGGTGCTGGTGTGGGTTTAACTGACTGGAGACTGAATGGTGTGGGCCACGTTTAGAGACACTGGACACTGTTTTGAGCAGACACAGCCTGACCTAAGTTAAGGGGGCAGTTTCTGTGGCTCAGATGTCAGCCATACCCAGGACTGAAGGGGACTTGCTCTTTGGTGCCCTCTACTGGAGAAAGACACAAAGGAGCGGTCATAGCCCCACTGGGCTGCTAACCCAGTGACTGTAACCTGGGGTAATCTGTGAGAGGCTGGGGTAGGAGCCGGCTCAGGCTGAGGTGGGTGCGTCGGAAGCCCCTGCAGGCAATGAGCTGTAGGAAGGACAGCAGGGCCCTCTCCCCGAGGAAAGCCAGGGGCGGGGGTCATGAGCCACGGGACAAGGCAAAGCTGGAAAGGGACCGAGGACTCCCAGGTTTACTCTGCACATCCAGAGGAGTCTGAGGCCTGGGGACCTCCAGTCTGCAGACTGATGGGTGTGGACACAGGCGTTTCCCTCTGAGCCACCTCCTGACAGCACCTGGGCCTCTTCCCTTCCTCCCACAGGAGACCCAGGGCAGTGTGGCTGTGCGTGTGGCTCTGGGGGAGACCCAGCTGGTCCAGGAGGTCCGCAGCTTCCTTATCGACAATGGTGTCTGCCTGGACTCTTTCAGCCAGGTGAGTTCTTACCGCACACAGTGAGTCCTTACCGCATACAATGAGTCCTTACCGCACACAGTGAGTCCACACTCATTCAGAGCTAGGACAGAGTTTCCTGGGATACTGGAAAGACGGGTCCTGTGAGTGATGGGAACCTGAGCCAAGAGTCAGTCTGCAGGACTGGTCCCTCAGTCTATGCCCTGCAGAGCATAGGGTGCACTCAGGGACGAAAGTCTGTAGCTCTTCCTGCCTTCTACACATAGGGGACAGGTCTGTGCTGCCAGGAAGGAGCCTGGGCATTGAGAAGTGGCTCTCGTCCTTTGGAAGCCCATGGGGCCACCTTGGGCTCTCCAGTCTGGGTTGTGGTTGGAGACTGTTGAACTTGTGTGGCTTGGGGTGAATTGGAGAGGTGTGGTCTCTCAGGCACCAGCCCCTCTGCAGAGCTGTCTGTGGGTCTTGGAGTGAACAAGAAACCTGAGATCGAACACCCCCCAGTCCCCCCAACCCCAGCTCTGCTTTCCAAGCCTGTTTGCTAGGGGTCCTGATGGGGCTTCTCTGCTGAGGCTGCCACCAGCGTCCAGTACTGAAGCCATGCTGAGGTCACCCCCCTCTGTTGTCCCCCACACATTCATCTTTCCTCAGGCTGCAGCAGAACGGAGTAAGACTGTGATCCTGGCTAAGAACCTCCCGGCAGGTACGCTGGCGGCAGAGCTACAGGAGATCTTCAGCCGCTTCGGCAGCTTGGGCCGCGTGCTCCTGCCTGAAGGTGGCATCACGGCCATTGTCGAGTTCCTGGAGCCACTGGAGGCCCGCAAGGCTTTCAGGCACCTGGCCTATTCCAAGGTATGGCCACTGATCTTGGTGGCACCAGAGACTATAAGAGCTCGAGCTGCCCCCAGGCTGGCATGGGCCTCCCACACACAGGCTCCTCCCAAACCACAAGGCCCCGCCCAAACCACACAGGCCCCGCCCAAACCACACAGGCCCCGCCCAAACCACGCAGGCTCTGAGCCTGCTGCTCTATGGTGAACATTACTGCTATACCAGGGACTGCCTCCTGGCTTTTGATTAAAGAGAAGATAACAGATCTGAGCTTCCCAGGCTGTTGTGACAAGGGGCCGCCAGCTCGGTGGACTCTGGTCTCTCAGCTTGTCAGTCCAGTCTCACCCGTCACCTCTGCCCATCCCATTCCGTCTGCCCTCCAGACCTCTGCATTAAAATTGCAGCTCAGCCAGATAGCACGGTCTCACCCCAAGATTCGCCTCCTATTGCCAAGGTCACAGTCAGTCTGGGGCTCAAGGTCACAGTCAGGCTGGGGCTCAAGGTCAGGACTTGACTGTGTCCTGGCGAGGCACTAACAGCTCAGTACCAGGAATTTCCGTCTGCCTGGGACTTTGGTGCTTCATGACGTGTGTCTCACATTAGTGTCTGAAGGCTGCGCTCAGGTACCTGGATGTACAAAGGGTCCTGAGCCCTGCCCGTGCAGGAAGGGCTCTGTACCCGGCTTCTCCTGGCTCTGTCATCTCTGGCCCTTCTGCCAGGCAGCACTGAGTCTCTAGCTAGGTCTTTGATGGGGACTCACAGCCTTGACACCCCTTTTTCTGCAGTTCCACCATGTCCCCCTGTACCTGGAGTGGGCTCCAATTGGCGTCTTTGGCACAGCCCCCCAGAAGAAAGATTCCCAACCTGAGCAGCCTGCAGAGAAAGCCGAGGCGGAACAGGAGACTGGTGAGAGCAGAGTCTGGGGTCACCATGCTGTGGGCAGAGCTGGGAGGAGGGTGGGGGTGCGGGAAGGCCATCATGAGGCCGCTGGCCGGGTGCCCTTCATTCTGCCTGCAGATAGATTTCATAGGCATGTCAAATGTCCTTTAAAGAGTGGATCCTTGGGATGTCGCCTCTTGAGGTGGCCAAGTTTTAATTTATTAGTCACAGGTTGTAGAGACCTTTGAGTGTATTGACAGGGATTTCAAAGAGGCTGTGGGAACCTTGACTCTCCATTGGAATTGATAGGTGGTCCCTCTGTGGCAGCTCTGGGGTCACAGTGCCCCCTGGTGGTCAGGATAGGAAACAGCAGCAGATCCCCTTAGCTCACTGTGGGGAGGGGGAGGGCACAACTTTGACAGTAGGTACAGGACAACTCTCCGTCATCCAGACTGATGCTCAGGAGTGCCTGCCACTCTGAGAGCCTGAAGCATCTGGGTCGGCACGTGTGAGGACCCGTGAGGCTGCTGTGGAGTGGGCACTGTGGAGGCCCAGCTGCTGTGTGGACTTCATTGTTTGGTTTGACGTTCCCATGTAGTTCAGGGTAGTCTCAGGTGTCCTGTTAGCGGAGGATGAGCTTGCACTTCCTGCCTGCCTCCGCCCCCGAGTGCTGGGCCTTCAGGCTGGGGTTGCAGGGGTGTAGACCATAGCCCATTTTCTGTGGTTTCTGTATAGTCAGGTGTACGCACATAGGAGTCTACGGCAGCAAGAAAAGCAAAGACAAGTACCAAGGTTGGCAGAAGGAGGGTTCAGATCCTCGCCCAGGCTGAGGTGTCTCTGCTCACTGTCACCGAGGGTTGTCCAGAGGCCATAATAGTCCCATGTGGATCATCACTTCCCTGTCCCTCTTCTTTGACCCTGACACGTCGTGGTTGTCACACTCGGGTAGCTGGCTGGACCTTCTGGATATCCCTTCCTAGCGTCTGTCAGGAAGTGGCATGGTGGTCTCAGACCAAAAGTCCCCTCAAACCTGCTCACAGTCTTATCCTGAGATGTTTCTTCTCCTGGTCCTGCATTTGTTGATCGTTAGTGTTGGAGGTTGGGACCTCAGGCTGTGTTCAGTCTGTAGGTGCCACCTGTCCTGGGGTTGGTTCTTCCCCTCAGCACCCCAGGCCTCCAGTTGAACCTGGGTGATACATTTTGACATAAGAGCAATTCCTCATTGCGAGGCATGGAAACTAGCCGGGGCCAGGGTTCCTGAAGACACACCCAGGAGGCTCGGCTCATGGCTGGGCGGCAGTGTCAGGGCTGTGTGGCTGCTGTCCTGTCGCGTCTCTCCCCTTTACGTTGATGCTGGTAAATATTGGAATCCACACTTTATTTCTCCCTTGTCATCTCCATCTTGGCCAGGCTATCACTGCACCCCAATGCCCAGCTCCCTGGGATGCAGCCCTAGGCGGAGGGCAGGACTGCTCCGTAGATAGATGCCAAGGAAGTGAAGGACTGTGGGAAGGATGTGACTCACCCCTCTGCAGGGAGGGCTGGGCTATGGCTGTGCTTGTGTCCTGAGCCTCTGATGTACGGGAGGTCTCAGTCAGGCTCCAGAGTCTGGTGGCTCCAACCAGTGAGGAGTGGTCAGTGACACTGACATGCGAAAGTGACTTTAGGTGGCTGTGGCTCAAGTCTGTGTGGCCAGTGGGCCCTTGAGTTACACTCACAGCAGTGACACTGTGCTGGGGAGATGTACATGCTGTCTAGTGCATGGCAGTCTTCTGCTCCTTGCCATGGCTGGGGGAATGCCTCCCTTCTCTGAGCTCTGTCTTTGTGTCTGTAGCATGGTGTTGGCCACCAGGCTGCCCAAGGTTACTGTTGTCAGCCACAGGCTGGGAACCAAGTGTATCATGGTGCCCTTGTAGCCACACAGAGCTGTGTGTCGCCGCCGCATGGGCTGGCTGCATCCACACAGCCTGCTCCTCAGCACGTCCAGCTGGCCTACTGAGGGGGCAGGTGGGGCAGCTGAGGTAGACCGAGTAGAATCACTGGTGGCCTTGGGTGCAGATGTTTCTCTGGAGCTAGAGAGGTTTCCTGACACTGGGGTCTGGGGTGGCACTCCATTGCGTTGTCCTTCTACCAAGCTCTGACCCTGAGGGTTTGCTTTCCATGGTCACACACAGCCTGTGACCTACACCAAGGCAACCTCAGACCTGGGAGAGGACCAGGAAGCTGGCCCAGGTTACACCCTGCCCAGATGTACTGTGTCCTGATCATCCCTCTGTCCCTTCCCAGCTCAGCCTGTCTGACTACACAGTCCCCTGTCCACTGAGTGTCATCCCCTGCCCAGAGTATCATCCTGTATCCCCTCACCCCTGCTTAGTGTCATCCCGTGCCCCCTCAACCCTGCCTAGTGTCATCCCGTGTCCCCTCACCCCTGCCCAGAGTCATCCTGTGTCCCCTCACCCCTGCCCAGGGTCATCCCGTGCTCCCTCACCCCTGCCTAGTGTCATCCCGTGTCCCCTCACCCCTGCCCAGAGTCAT